TGGGGGGGGTACCGATGGCGGTGGGGGGATGTCTTCATCCAGGTCTTCCCCCTCAAGACCCTGGGGGCGCAGGTCCCCCACCGAGCTGTACATGCGGTGGTTCCCATTGATCTGGGAGCCAGAGCCTGCGCGGAAGAGCAAGAGCACAGCCATGTGAGCACCTTCTCAGGCAGCACTGGGAGGGCGAGCATCGTCCCTGCCCAGCTGTCCTCCTAGGAAGCTCGTTTGATTTTGCTCAGTGGCCGTCTAAAGTTTGCTGAACTGTAACAACTACTATGCCTCACCCCTTAGAAATTAATTTTTTCAATTACTTCAAAAAATAATTAATAGTAGACTATCTTTTATCAAGAAAAAAAATCTCATGATCAGACTGTCTACTCCAGAGCTTGATGCACACACGCTTCCTCCCCCCCAAGGGCATGGTACTGCTGAGCACCCAGCAGAGAGGATCCCTTACCAAGAGCTGCTTTTTCCTCAAAGTCTTCTGGCACCGACGGCGTTGGCACAGCCACCCCGTGTGATTCTTGGGCATTCTGCAACAGATGAGGAAACAGAGCTGTTAAGTTCTACGCCCAGGCTATCAGAGCAAAGCGCTGGCAAGCAGGCCCCAGCCTGCACAGCTTGTAATCTGTCTACACAAACAGGAGCCTGATGGGATCCAGGGCCACTTCCGAGAGACGGAGGTCCCTGCGGTAGCTGCTGTTGACAGGGTTTAAGGGGATGAGTGACAGGATCAAGGGTGCACGAGCCACAGACACGACTCCCTGGGCTGGAGAGGAGCACGGCTATTTCACATCCAAGCTTAGGGCTCCCCAGCCCGAGGCCAGCAGCACCAGTTTCTCACCATTCACATACCAAGCAAGTTTAATTGCTCCCATGGGTTTTGCGGGCATCGCTCTCCAGCAGGCACTGCCAGCTCACGCCGCAGTCGCACACACAGCACACCAAAGTCACAGACACTTCCAGCCTTTCGGGAAGCTGGCACCAGCATATCTGAACAGTCTGGGGAAAACTGCTATTTGTGTGGTTTCACTCTCAATTACTCCCTTCGCATTATTGCTGAAAACTCAGCAGCGCATTTAGCTGCTACAGGACCATGCAATTTCGCAGCCTACACATTTGCGAGGATGCTTAGGGCCAGGGCACTTTGGGTAATTACAGCCACCCACCGTGAGATATTCGTGGCACGGTGACTCACCTGGAGCGCTGACCAGGGCTCCTGCCGAAGCAGAGTGCCTTTCCTTCCCTCCCGTGCCTCGCTGCCAGGGTCGCTCTGCAGAGGGACTGGGCTCTAGTGAAACACCGACGCGCCCAGGTCCGAAACACAAACCGATGCTGAACCAGGCTGCCAGCACTGATGTGACGGAGGCAGGGGACTGGCCTTTCACATACCAGCCTTGGGAGAGACCCACAGCAAGGAAATAACGCTCCATGAGCGGCAGAAGCTCGCAGAGCTCATGGGCAGCGGCCAGGGACATACCTCCCCGTTCCCAAGCTCCAGCCCGCTGCACTCCTCCTCACCCCGGCAGCTGTTTGCTATTAACAGCCCCTGCGCAAAGGAATCCTTATCCTACCATCAGGCTGCACCGCTCAGTGCCGGGGTTTTCTGCATACAAAAGCCTGGATAATGTTTGAGCCCGTGCCCTTTGCCTTTCACTGGCATTATCGCTATTTTTACAAGAGATTGCTCTAGGATTCCAAAGTCTCCTTGCTCAAAGGTCACGCGGGGTTTGCAGAGCCAGCCCCAGGCAGGGCTCGCAGACAGCACGCCAGCCTTACGCCCGCCCGGGGCACAGGGAGCTCGGGGACACAGGAGCTGCCGGGGCAGAGCTGACTCCAACAGCAGCAGCCTGGGCTCCTTCAGCAGAGTCCCGAAATCCCCCAGCTTTTGACAAAATAATATGAAGATACACATGCTTTGCTTGGGAAGTCCATTTGCCCTGCAGAAGACCAGAGATCCTCTGTAACCACGAGGCAATGAGCCAGTTATTGGCGAGCCAGGAGAGAGCGAGTGGGAATTCCCAGTCCTGGGCTGCCCAACTGATCAGACAACTTGGTGCTGAGGGAGCAGCCAAGATCTGCTACAGCATTAGGGCAGATCTGTTGGCAAAACACCAGACCAGGTGAGCCTTACAGCCTCATCCGAGACCTTTTTACTGGTCACAGAGATACAGTACAACGCAGAGGAAAGATCCTTCACTTCAGCTGAGAGCCAGAGGGAAGACAGAGGCTAACAGAGGCACTTCAAGAGCTGATAATGAAACTGTCCAGAGCAATGAGATACCAAAAGCCACCAAGAAAATAACCCCAGCAGTTCCCATTTGCTATGGAAATTCTTGGCTGCCAGTCTCCAGAGCACACTGCGGATACCCGCTCATTTACAGGGAAACAAAGATGTCTGGGCACCGAATTAAAAACAACATATGCATCACATGTTTGGATAGGAGTAGAAAGGGAATGGCAGTCGGAAGAGATCTATGCAAAGCTGGAGGAAACAGCCCACATTTCACAAACAAATAGTAATTTTGGACATGTCATTTCACCAGGTCTTAAAAACTGGGCAGGCCTGTTTCGCACCAAAAATTTCTGTTGCAGTTGCTAACGCTCAGCATCTCTCTCAAAAGCCACCCATCCCCACGTCACGAGCTGGCTTCCAAAATGGAAAGCATCTCCAGCACGCTGCCAGCCTGCAGAGCTGACCAGGAAGGTTGCTTCCCTCTGCGGTGTTTGCTAGGGGTGTGCCCAGCCCAGCACACCTCCCGCTGACTCAGAGCGGGCTGCTGCGTCAGGAACCTGCATTTCCAGTTCGTGGTACCTGTAGGCTTCGGGGAGCTTTCACCACAACCACCCCGAATCGCTTGTCAGTGCCACAGCAGAGTTCAACACCCCTGTCCCCAGGGATGGGGAGCCTGCCTGCGCCCACGGTCCCCAGCTCCTCCAGTCGCTCAGGAGCCCACATTTCCCACCCATTAAATCAACTAGGTTTGAGGCCGCCCGTTACAAAAAACATGGCAAAATACAACTGCTTAGCATCCTGGGGGCTCAGAGAAGCCAAGGATTTCTCCAAACACAAAGAGCTACACCCAAACTCCTTGTTTTGAAGCAGACCTAGGGAAGCGTGGTGGTTAACTAAAGGAATTTATTCCCCCAGGATGCCTAAGCTCTGCCAGCACCTGCGGCACCCGGGTGGCAGGGGGACGTGGTGGTACCCGAGAGGCAGGCAGTGAACCCCCTCGTCGGCAACCCCTTCCACGACCAGGCTGGGGATGGCCGAGGGGCCGGCATGCGGGGGGAAGGCAGCCGCTCGGTGCGGGCAGAGCGGCCGGGCACACGCAGCCTCCCGCCTCTGACACGGGCACCGCTCCCCAGCCTCCCCTGTGCAGGAGGGAAAGGGCCAAGGTGGGAGCTGCAGAACAGCCCAGCGCAAGCACGTATGTGGCAGCAGAAGCGTCTGTGCCAAATCAGATCATAATCAAACCTAATCAAAATAATGCAAATATGCAATACAGACTGGTCCTTAAAAAGCGTTGCTCATTCCTCCCAGTTCCTTTGGTTAAAGCTGTTACTCGTGGAAGAGCAGCACAGGGAGAGGGACCCTCACAAGGGCAACTGAGGGGAAAAAAGGGCTGGCTGTGCCTCTGCAGACAGCAGGAAAGCACCTGGGCTACGGGGACAGCCCTTCGTATTCATCCCAGGGACACTGTGCTGTTTATTCCTCTACCACACACACTTCTTCCACTAGTAAAGCATTTAAAAGCTCTAAAAAAATTGCAAAAGGCCAGCTCCATTCTGAAAACCTGCTGATATGGGGTGCAAACCGTGGTCACACACCCAAGCCTGCACTGCTGGAGAGGTACCAGTCCTACAGTCACTCGACCCGGAGCCCAGGTGCAATCTTTCACCTGCTGTGATCTTTTGGAAGGCTTCACAGAGGGCACAACCCTTTTGTAGAACCTGTATAACCCCATAACGTCCTAATTATGCTCTCAAAGAGATATATAAACTCCCTCCCCGCCAAGTTGTCCTCCACATGACACCCGCACAACCCCATTAACTCCTAATTGCACCCCGGTGACAGCAGACCAGCCCATTTTCTGCTGAAAGTGATGGCTGCTCTAAAGGACAAGGATGTAGGAGGAGAAACCTCCCTCGCTCCCAGAGAGCATTTCCTTGTCAAAACCAAAGGCTTTTAAGTGTCTCACTGTCTTAAGTGACCTTCAGTGACCCACGCGTATCACTTCAGATTTAGCCACTGCCATCTCCAAAGCATCTCTGAGCAACCACGCGCTTCACTGTACTCTTCAGGGGATGAGACCTGGGGACAGGCGCGCTGCGGGGGAGGAAGGCTCGCTCGGCAAGCCCAGCAGCGCAGCATCGAAGCCAGCAAGGAGCACGTGTGGCTTCCAGAGCCCCAGCCGGGTTAAAGCCACCCCTGGGCCCGGCTGTGCTGGCACCTGCTGCTCCAGTCCCTGCACCCAGGTGCCGCTGGAGCAGTGGCAGCTCTGCAGGGAACGGTTCCCTCGCACGCAGACTGGAAAACCAGCCTGTGCACAGGGACCCGCTGCTTCGCCTCCCCGCTCCCCTGCTGCGAGCAGGATGCAGCCTTGCTATCGCTCTCTCCAGCAACGTGCCTGATCCAGAGATAGATACTGCCAGTAGCGGTGAGATAAAAATGCAGTGCAAGCCAGATCTATCATCTACATGCTCAGCAAGTTTTTTTTAATTGAAAATACAAGCTGATGATGCTTACGTCTCTCGCCCGAGTATCCTGCCCATGTCCAACACAAGCCTTGAACTCAGATCACCTCCTAATCCCTCGTATCCAGCATTATTACAGAGTGGTTTTGCTTTTCATTTATTTTCTTCCCTCGGGTAGAGGAGGAGAGCAGCAGCCAGCTCAGCTGGTTCTGGGTACCAGTTACACACATTGCCAAAACAAATCCCAGCGGCGAGCCAGATACTCACAAGGGGTAAGAAAGTCAGCAGCGGCCGGACTCTCGGCCGAGGTTTAAGCGTTGCTGTGCCAGAGTCGGTCATCGTCCCAAAGCGATTGTCTCCATAATACACTTCAATCACGTCACCTGAGGGGAAGAGAAGACTGTTAGCACCAGCACCGCGTTCGAGGCAACAGGAAAAGCAACACTGGACACCACCTAATTCTAAAAAACACTGTGAAGAATTTGCTGTGTCAACTCTCAGGAACGGGCAAAGCCCATCAGCTTCTGAGGAGTATCTGGGTGTTTTGGAGCAGAGCTGAAGACCCCCAGTGTGCAGGACCCCTGGGCTGGCAGCCCTGGCGCACACCCGCAAGGTGCAGAGGCCCTTCCCGAAGCTCCAGACGCTGGAGTTTAAAAGAGCAGCAATGCCAAATCTGTTCCAAAAGGCTTATTTCTAGCAGTGGCTAACTTGAATCTACTTCAGGAGGGTCAAAAGTTAGCCTAAGCACTCAATTCACTCCCCACCCAGATTATGCCCAGGGAAGCAAAATGCTTTAGGAGCAACTGGACCAGCTCCTTACAGCACTGCGAGGCTCCAGCCCCAGGAGAGCAGGAGCAGGACCAGGGCAGAGGCCCACCGAGGTGACACAAACCAGCTCGTGAGCACGGGCAGGATCTGATCCTGGCCGATCCGTCAGCAGCTGGAATGGAGAGGGCAGCAGCAGAGCCTGACCACCCACCACGCCAGCCACAGAGTGCTCCTGCCGCCTGCCGACCGCTCGGGGGGCAGAGCGGCTGCATCAAAGCAGAGTTAACGGCAGGTTCTTCACTGAGCCCTGCCACACCAGCAGGTCCCCGTCACTCGCAGAGCAGAGGGGGACAGCGGAGGGGTCCCTGACCCCGGCTTGTGCCAAGCAGAGGGGAATGCCTCGCTCCACCGCTTGGACACGCGATGGCACGGGACACGCAGGGGCTTCCCAAGGAGGTGCCCCCCCTCCACGCTCGGCCACCATCAGCCGAGGGCAGCGGTAGGGACGTGCCAGAGCTGCTTGTCCTGGCGTGGACGGACACCTCCAGCGCCCGTAGCATCCTTCGACTCGCTGCTGGAGCCATTTGCTCCTGACCCTTGATGCAGCTGGCATTGGAGGGCAAATCGTGCTTGCCACAACACTGTCACACCTCAGCGTGCCCTACAGAGAAAGGCTCTGAACACCCTCCCACGAAATACTACCATGAAGGGAGACGCTAAGGCAGATGGCAGCCGCAGAGCCCTGCTGCTACAGGCAGGAGCAGCCACCAGCTACACCTGGTTCCCAGCCCTGTGCTTCTACCTTGAGCCACACCTTTTGGGCCAGTTTATTTCTGACAGTGAATAAAGCTCATAAAATTAGTTTGATTACGTTCTTTGTGTCTGATTAACAGCATGAATTAACAAGCAGAAGCACAGAAGCATGTAAACCCCACCTTGGCTGGAAGGAGATACACAAATCACTCGTAGCCAAGGAGACCAACATTAAAGAAAACAGGCGGGTTGGAGGAAGGAGGGCAAAGCAAGCAAAGTGCCCACGATCAGAGCGAAAGCTCCACAGGAGCGTCCCCACCTAGCAGATTTCGATAGTGGTTTCAGTGAGAAGCAAGACACAAACAACCTCCCCCTCCACCCCAAAGCACAAACACCAAGAAGTAAACAGCTTCCCTCACCCAAAAGAGTTTGGAAGCACAGTCCTCGCACCTGACCCCGTGCTGAGTGTGAAGCACAGAAACAGCTTCTGCCAGGTATCATACAGCAATTAAAAGCCGAGGAAGGAGCAGAAGGGTGAGGGTCATCTCAGCCCCGCGTGCGGGCGAAGGGGCTGGGATGCATTTCCAGGCCCCCGAAACCCATCCCCACTCCCACACAGCCCCGAGGCACAGCCCGTGCCCTCCCCGCGCTGCCGGACCCGACGGCTGGGGTCCCCAACCCACCAGGGACTGCCATGGCACCTAGCTGTGGTTGTCACCAAGCCTCTGACCTCCTTGGACGGGCAGAGATCAGGCCAGAAGCTCCCAAGGAAACAGAGTTTAGTGGGGAAAAAATTCAAAACAAAAAAAAAAAAAAGGGCAGGCAAATGCTTGTGTGCATTCCCACAGAACAGCACTCGCATGAACACCTGGAATGAAGAACCTGACCACGCCAGGGGCTGGGCACGAGCTGCCACAGCCTCTGCTGAAGGTACGGGTTTGGAGGCAGAGGAATTCCACACAACCCTGCAACATGCCACCGAGTCCAGCACGCACGCAATCTTCTCCTTCCTCCCACCCACCACACCAGAAGTCACCCTGAGGTACACCCAGGAGTATCCATCGTCCTGCCACTGTCCTCACAGGCAGTCGGGATGTCCTCTCCCTTAGCCCAAACTTCTCTCACCACAAGGGATTAGTCACAAAAAGGACATTTTCTTCAGCTGTCAAAACACCAATCAGCTGCACTTCAGTTAGCCTGATCCTACCACCACTTTAACACTTCCCTGCCCGTGAGGGGCCCACGCACACAGGAGTTGCTGCTGGAGCCTCAAGGACGGCAGAAATGCCAGCAAATTATTATTCTTTTTTTCATAAACCCTGGGTGACTCCACACTCAGCGAGTAAGCAGCAAGAACTAGGGCCCATGCAGCATGAGGGTTTGGATTCAGACAGCTTTGCGGAGCAGCAGCAGAACAGTCAGAGACTTGAAACGATGAGGGTTTTGTATTAAACAAGACACTGGGTAAACTCAGTGAGAAACTGGATTAAAGATCACAAGGTCTTTGATCCTAGATTACTAAGCATCGCTAGCCTGAATGTATTTAATTAAAGTAAAATGAAGTGCTTGTAGTTGTGTTTTCTTTGCTAGATAAACAGGACTTGCCTGCTAAGAGCCTGTCACCAGTGAGACCTGTGCTGTGCCAGCTCCGTTTCCTGGAAGGAGGGATCAGGAAACACGCCTTCGGAGGCTGCCAGAAGCCACTGGCCCCGACTATGCTTTGTCCACTTTTTGACATTCAACCTGTCCTGGAGATGTGTGTGTCCTCTCGGTCATGGGGAGTAAAACAAGCGATCTGCAACGTGCGTAATGGAACTCCTTCCTCCTTGGGGGTTGCGTCACCTGGAGTAGGCACAGCAGGTTTGACGCCGGGGTATCCACAGCTCACTGCGAGGAGGCGGCATCAGTCACTGCATTCAGGAATCTCTGAGTCAGTGACAGGCAAACCTACACCCATCCCACATTGCTTAACTTGTGTTTACTTTGCACGAACAACTAAGGTGGGGATTCGCAGAAGCAGTGGACTCCTGGCAGCAGCGATGGCACGCAGCTACGCAGCAAATAGTCCAGAAACAGGGCCAGGGATGGGGCTGCACTGGGTGAGACTGTGGCACTGCAGAAAGCAGAGGACGATAAACCCTGTCCCTTGGACTGCTGAGCCATGAGCGTGCCGTTCCTCGCGACACCTCAGCACACGCTACTCCGAGCACGGTCCCTCAGCTCCTGTGTGTCACAGTACGCTACACAAATTAAATTAATGATATAAATGCCAAGAGGATGCTCAGGAGTGATTCATCAGCTTTTACTGATGCTGGGATTTCAAGGACTCCTGGTTTTCACTCGCCAGCTGACCCGCTCTGCGGCTCCCCACACCCGAGGGGAACGCCTTCGCGCTGCAATCGCGGCCACAGAAATCAGGCTCGGAATGAGCCGACACGGTGACTCTTTCTTTTCTTTAATCCAAACCACATCAGAGAGAAGCCCGAGCCCTCCTCAGACTCACGACAGTTAGAAATCAGCAGCTTTCCTCCCACGTTTGAGAGCCGCGTGAAACTCCCCGTCAGACTCTCGCTCTATCCCAGTCTCACCAGCCTGGCCTTCGAGGTGCGATCCCCTCGCCGCAGTGTACCCGGACAACGCGGCCGCAGCGCTGGCCGGAGCCCCACAGCCACCAAACCTCACCCGCAGACTGCTATCTTTTATCTACCTGGCTCCATTCCTCTTAACCCGGCTCCCTCCTACATGTCCCTCCAGGGCACAGCGCTGCCATTAAAACCACAGAGAAATACAAATAAACCCGAGCGACGCGCACCCCTCCGCTCCCCTCCCTGCACGCAGCCCTTCCAGAAATGGGTTCACACAGAACCACAGAATGTTCGGGGTTGGCAGGGACCTCTGTGGGTCCCCCAGCCCAACCCCCTGCCCAAGCAGGGTCACCCAGAGCAGGCTGCACAGCACCGCGGCCAGGCGGGGCTGGAATATCTCCAGAGAAGGAGACTCCACAGCCTCCCTGGGCAGCCTGGGCCAGGGCTCCGTCACCCTCAGAGGGAAGAAGTTCTTCCTC